GGTTTCTCAGCGCTGCAGCGGTGACGCCGTCTGCTCCGGGGGCCGACTTTTTACGTGGGAGCGATGCCAGGGCGCGTTCCAACTCGTGTAGCTGGAAGTCTGCGAGCCCCTCTGTCATCTGGGGCTTCGCGTGCCACTTCCAGTCTCGCCATCCGGGCGGTGCATCTCGGGCGGCAGGCGCGGGTGGGGGGGAGAGCAGTGCGTCCGCTAGAAGTTCTCGGACGTCTGCATCGGAAATGTTAAGCGCGAGTGCCATACCTGCAATAGGATCTCGCGGTCCCGGTCGGTTGCAGAGGGTCTTGGCCATTTTCCACGCCTTGGTGGCCCCGCGGGGGCCGTCGAAGGACTCACACTTCTGCTTCCACTGCTCCCTGGCGAGCCTCTTACCGTGTCGCTTGAAGAGTGCATCCTGGCGTCGGTAGCGGAGTGTGTCCTCGTGACGGCCCGTCCGCAGGGCCACCCTCTGTGCCTGGCGTCTTTGTGCTCGGAGTTGGAGCCAGCGAAAGTCAGGATTAGGACGCTCAACGGGGATACTCACTGACGTGGTGGCCTCTTTGAGTGCGGCGCCGATGGCCTGGCTGTCAAGGGGCCAGCCCATCGCCTCGTACTGGCGGAGGAAGGCACGATACCTGTCCCAGTGGACCACCTTGCACGTTCGATTGGGTGGCCGTGGGGCAGGTCCCGATGTTATGGGAACGTGGTCGCTCCCCCAGCTGTCTTGCTCGAGCACCGTGGTCAGTGGGAATCGCGCCGAGCAGAACGTTAAATCGAGTACGCTCCGCTCGACGCCTCGTCCGATGAATGTGGGCTGCCCTGTTCCGCTGTACTCCAAGTCGGTTTGGGCGAGGGCCTCCTGCAAACGCTTGCCGCGCGCGGTCGTTTTCCTGTCCCCCCACAGCTCGTTGTGCGAGTTAAAGTCTCCGCCGAGAATGATTATGCCCTGCTCTCGCGCGTGAATTTGTTTTACAACCTCTCCACCCCACGCCGCGTTGGGGTGAACGTAGCAAGAAAAGATAGAAAATGTCTGGTTATTTTTCTTTACCCGAATACCTACAAGTTCCGAAGTGTCCGAGCAGTAATCGGCGCTCTCGATCCGGCAGTGGGTCGCGTCTTTGTGGACGAGCACGGCCGCCCAGGGTTGTTTTTCCCGGCCGGGGCAGCAGTAGGTGGTGTAGCTGGGAATGGTTAGTTTGCTCACGTCCATTTTTGGCTCCTGCAGCAGCACCACCTCGTACGGCCTTGCCAAGAGTTCTGCCCTCAGGTGGGTGAGGCGGTTGCCGAGCCCGTTCGCGTTCCACTGGAGGATCGAGGGACAACCTTTTACAGCATTAGGCTTACTTGTTTTCCTAGTGCTTGTAGGCATTCTCAGTTCCTTGCCGCGAACGTTGCATCCCCGCGGTGATGCTGTGTAGTAGGGTCCCCTCCGGGATCATGGCTGTAGCCTGCCGATTCTTGAGGAAAAGCGGGATTAGTGTTTGGAGCAGATCCTCCAGGTTGTGGATCATGTCGCGCATTTCCTGCGCGGTGGGGGGCGTGTCCGTCTCGTCCCGCCGAGGGGAATCCCCGGCGCTGTCTCCTGGGGAGGCTGCGGGGAAGGGGGGTGAGGGGGGCACCTGTTCTTGCTGGGGGAGAGGCCTTTCCCTCTCGCCACCGGGTCGGTCGTCCGCGCGGGGAGAGGAGGACCCTCGCAGGTGCCGTGCGTCAGCTGGGCGCCGGTCATTGACCCCTCGCCGCTGCTGTTGGCTGTCTGGACGGTAGGACCTGCGATAGACCTCCTCCCGCCGCTGCGGCCTACCGACTTCGGGGATTTTGGCGCTGGGTTCCGTGTTAGTGGAGGCCTCTCTTGTCTTTACCTGTGGGGGCTGTGGGACGACTGGGGGGATTAGTTCGCGAGTCCTACTCACCGCGTTTGGCCGACTGCGCGCTTCCAGCGTTGGGAAAGTGTCTCCCCAGACTGAGCTCGCTGGGAGCACGCTGGTCTGCCACGCGGGAGTCTGGCTGGCTCCGCTGTGCATCCAGGGGGGCGGGGTGGCGGTCTGCTCCTGCGCGCGCTGCGTGCTGCGCTCGCTTGCCTTTTTCTTGTGGAGTTCGGCGGCGACACGTTTGGCCTCCTTCCAGCTGCAGCCGGTGTCGCGGACCGCCTCGGCCTCGCGCTTGTGTTGTTGGTACACGCTGCATCCCTTGTCGAATGCAGCGTGTCTGCACTTGCAGTTGGGGCAAATGGGGGTGAGTTTTGTCGCGCACTTACCCCGAGGGTGCCTGCCCCTGCATGTTGGGCAGGCAGTGGGCAGCGTGCACGCGGACTGCACGTGGCCGAAGCGTCCGCATCCCCAGCACTGCGTTGGCCGGACGTGTCGTGCCTCCACGACAAACTCGATGTCATAGATCAGGACCGTGGCTGGTAGGGGTCCGCCGAAGAAGAGCTCCGCGTACCGCCCTCCGCTGAACCGTCTGATGTGGTCCACGGGCACCTCGCTTTCGAGGCCTCGGGTCAGCTGTTCTGTTGCGTCATTGGGGCAAAGTCCGCGAATTACGCCGATACTCACCGCTCTGGCCGGCGCGAGGGTGGCATGGAGAGGGAGGCTCGCCAGCTTGTCGGTGCCTAGGAGGCGGTGGGTCATTGCCGCGCTCGTTGTTTCGACCGCCATCACGTTTCGCCTGAGATTGAAACGTGTGGCGGCCGCCTTGCCGCCCGTGACCTGTCGAAGGCCCTGTGCCAAGGAGACTCTGTTCTCGAGGGTTAGCTTACCTGTTCCCGTTGGGCGGAGCAGGACTGTGGACCCCTTTGCGGGGAGTTCGTCTAAGGAGGGAATTGGTTGGTTACCCTTGCCTTTGTTTGTCTTACGTGAGGCCCCGGATGTTGGGGGGCTTGTCACTGAGGGGGGGGTTGTCGCTCGGGGAGGGGTTGCTGCACCGTCCTTTCTTTTTTGTTGCAGTTCCTCGATGAGGGTGTTGCAGTCCTTGCTGCCTGCTTCCAGAAGTGCTGCAAACTGGTTGGAGGTGTTTACAGTCACCTGGAGTTGGTCGTCATCCTCCTCGGAGGTGTTGTCAGGTGTGGAGTCACTGGGGCTCGATGTTGTGTCCCCGCTTGCTTCGGAGGGGCTGTCGCTGTTCTCGCAGTCGTGGAACAGGTCCACGACTTCGTCCGGGAGCCGATCTGCATTTGGGTGTACTAAACCGGCACTTTTTAGTACACCTAGGATGGCGTCCGGTCGGGGGACGCCATCCTTCGGGGGCTCGTCGCGCTCCACGTGGGCGCCGTCCTCGTGGCTCTCGGGTGCCACGCGGAGGCTAGCCTCCGCGCGGGATCCGGTCCCCACGAGGTTTTCCGCGTTGTCCACGTGGCTCGCGCCGGCTGGCGGTAACGAATGGTTACCGTCTGTGTTTGGTTTGGGCTTCATGGCCCTGCTCCGCAGCAGGTACCCCGAGGGGTCCTCTGTCTCCTTTGAGTGGTCCGTGGTCAGTTGGTCCGGGGGCATGCCTGCGTCGGTGCCCTCCCGAGGGAGGGCGGGGGGGAAACTACAAACTGTTTAAATAAAGGTCCCTCTGCCTCTTTAAGGCAGAAGGATCTTTAACACTAACTACCTCTACTCTATCTTAATTCTTCTTCACATTACGAAGTTAGGGTTAAAGCTAAGACTAAATTCAAAATGGCGCTTAAATTGGAGCTAACAAATCACACGTCTACTTTATTTGCCAACTCTTCTAAAAGTCCCTCACCTCACCTCACCTGAAATTTTCGTTTTCTTTGCTCTTTTTATAGGTTTTCACAGCATTCTGAAAAATGTGCTCCGATTGGCCAGCATTCTAGAGCGCGGGAAACAGTGCGCTGTGATTGGAGTACGCCCAAAATAACGCTTCGCGATTGGTTGCTGCGCGAACCAATGAGCAAGCAGTTTGAAACTACAATTTTTTGGGAGAGGGTTTTGGGAGAGGAGTGCTATGAAGCAGAGGCAGTGCAAGGCGAAAACGCGCTCTTGCAGCGCCCCCCAAGCGGAGAGGACTGGCACTTCCTTTGATTTTCTGCTTCTCGATGCGCTGACTCCCTCACTCACTCAGTGTTCGTTGGTTTGTTCGGTTGTCCACTTCTCACCTCCACCAAGATGTCTGGGCGCGGAAAAGGAGGCAAGGCAAAGGGCAAGAGCAAGACCCGTTCCAGCCGCGCGGGGCTCCAGTTTCCCGTGGGAAGGATCCACCGACTACTGCGAAAGGGCAACTACGCGGAGCGAGTAGGTGCCGGTGCCCCCGTCTACTTGGCGGCCGTACTCGAGTACCTGGCTGCCGAAGTGCTCGAGCTGGCAGGAAACGCGGCCAGGGACAACAAGAAAACTAGGATCATCCCTCGACACCTGCAGCTGGCCATTCGCAACGACGAAGAGCTCAACAAGCTGCTGTCCGGCGTTACCATCGCGCAAGGAGGTGTCCTGCCCAACATCCAGGCCGTCCTCCTTCCCAAGAAGACCGAGAAGAAGGCCTAAACCATCCCGCGGCATCCGCTACAGAAAAACGGTCCTTTTCAGGACCACTCATGACTTGAGTACAGGATACTCATTTCCGTGCGCTAGTCTTCCGTGTCTCTAAACACTCGGGTATGTGCATTTAAATTTCCTTTTTGTGCATTGCCGACAGTGTTTCTCTTTCATCACCTACAGGCCTTGAATGCCACTCTTAGGCATTCTCCCATGCATAATATTTACGCTGCGTTTAATGCCAAATTCTTTCACGTGTGCGAATTGCCCGAACAAGACTTGCTGTCGGGCGCAAAGGCCAGCATTGCTTGTTATTTGAACTCGTAAAACCACCGCTGCACTGCCTCGCTTTGAGAGGATTTGAAGCTCTTTCTACGAGAGTCAACAATCGGAGCAGCATTTCCCCGAAACCGGCAGAGGGCAATAAATGTTGTGGACATCCCTCAAAAACAGATAATTACTCCACGGGTTTTTGTTGGTCGAATCTATAATCGTGATATTCGCTGATTGCTAGAAAATGAACCCTGTAATGTCTCGGGAAAGGTTTTTTTCTTCTTTATTTATTTCATTCAACAACACTTTAGAAAACAAGGAACACATGAAGGAATCGTTGGAAGCAACTGCGAACGGAGCACTTGGCACAATGCAAACTAGTTCAAAATGGGAGAATAAATAGAAAGTACTCACAGCTTTTGAACTCCTGCACTTGGAACAAGTCAGCATCGGAGATTGAGACACGGGAGGACGTCGCTTTACACATGTCCGAAAAGCATGTCTGATGTGGCCCTGAAGAGGGCCGTTTTTGTGGCGTTGCCTGCCGCTTCCAAAGAAGCGACATTAAGCGCGTTCACCGCGGATGCGACGAGCCAGCTGGATGTCCTTAGGCATGATGGTTACCCGCTTGGCGTGGATGGCACAGAGGTTGGTGTCTTCGAAGAGACCGACCAAGTAGGCCTCGCTGGCCTCCTGCAGGGCCATTACAGCCGAGCTCTGGAAGCGGAGGTCCGTCTTGAAATCTTGCGCGATCTCCCGCACTAGCCTCTGGAAGGGCAGCTTGCGGATGAGCAGCTCAGTCGACTTCTGGTAACGACGAATCTCACGCAGCGCGACCGTGCCCGGCCTGTAGCGATGCGGCTTCTTGACTCCACCGGTTGCAGGAGCACTCTTCCGGGCGGCCTTCGTAGCCAGCTGCTTGCGCGGTGCTTTTCCTCCCGTGCTCTTGCGGGCGGTCTGCTTCGTACGGGCCATTCCGAAACGTTGGGACAATAAAACGAGAGAGCTAGCAAACAGCAACACACCTCGACTCCTGACGACCAACTGCCTCAGCGCGAGTGGCGAAACTTCCTTCCCGACAAGGCCTCTCGGCCAATCAGAGAGCTTGTTCATTCTGGATGCTGTTTTGGGCAAGTTTCTTGCGAGGGACAGCGCACGTGGCTCGCTAGGACAATATTTCACGATTGAAGTGATCTAAACTTGTGGGGATAATGTGGAACCAACGTTAGAGCACAGAATCGAGCAAAAATTAGACTCCCAACCTTGTTATTTTAGAAACGGCACGGTTATAAACATTCGTTACCTTCTCCAGTGGGCCGCGCTCGCCTCTCGTCCAATCAGCGCGCTTGTTCATTCTTGGATGCTGTTTTGGGCGACTTTCTTGTGAGGGCCTATGCGCTTGGCTCCGTAAAATAATTTTTCTCGATCGAAGTAACTCAGACTTGTGAGGATAATGTGGAACCTATATTAGAGCACAGAATCGAGCAAAAATTAGACTCCAAACTTTGTTATTTTAGAAACGGCATGGTTACAAACATTCGTCACCTTCGAAGGGCTTCTCCCGGAGGTTCGCGCTCGCCTCTCTCGGCCAATGAGCGCTTGTTCTAGACGGTTTTTTTTCAGTCTCTCTCTGCTTACGATTAGAGTGGGTCATGTCCGAAGAAGTGTCCGCTCCTGCTGGGGTCGCGGCCCCCGCTGCCCTTAAGAGCCCCAAAAAGGCTTCCACGAAAGTGTCCAAGGGAAAGGCAAAGGCCGTGCCAACGCATCCCAAGGTGTCCGCAATGGTGACAGCATCCATCAGTGCGCTTAAGGAACGTGGTGGTTCATCTCTACAAGCCATCAAGAAATACATGTCTGCCAACTACAAGGTGGACGTCGAGAAGCTGTCTCCTTTCATCCGCAAGTATCTCAAGTCTGCCGTGGCTGCGGGAGCATTGGTGCAGACCAAGGGCAAGGGAGCTACCGGATCGTTCAAGCTGTCAGCCAAGTCCGACAAGCCCTCACCTGCTGCTAGGAAGCCCAAAAAGGAGGCTGGTGCTGCAAAGAAGCGCCCAGCCTCGGCAACTGCCGGTGCGGCCAGGAAGAAGAAGCCCGGGACTGCCAAGAAGTCGCCCGCAAAGAGGGCCAAGTCGGCCAAGCCCAAGTCGGCCAAGCCGAAAAAGCCAAAGGCAGAGAAGAAGGCTGCAGCACCCAAGAGCCCCAAGAAACCCAAGGCAGCAAAAAAGACCCCTGCCAAGAAGCCGGCTGCAAAGAAGGCTTCCTCCAAGAAATAGGTCTTCTCCTGGATATCCAGAGCGAAAAACAAAACGGCCCTCATCAGGGCCATAATTCGTTTGCATATCGGGGGATATGCACTTGCGTGGCATGCAGCTCCCGTGTCTCTCGCCACCTCTCTGTTCCAGCCTCGGTAAGCTGATTCCTGCTCTTTTTCAATGTGCACGAGGCATACTTGGTGTTATATTATTGTTTGTTCCCCTGTTAGCAGCATTTTATCTTTGTGTGTGGTACTCGTGAAGTCGTGGAGGCCCGCTTCACGCTCGAGCCGCGATTCGATCGCCTAAGATCAGGCGAAAATAAAAAAAAACTACTCGCTTTAGAACAGTCTTTTTTTCTGTCCCCTTAGCGCACACCTTTTTTTTGCGGCACACGAAATTAAGAATCTGTATCTACGTTTATTATTACCTCTTTTAAACTTAAATCGACCAGCCGCCCCGACCGCTTGAAAACTAGTTTTGGCTTCCAAGTAAGAGGTTAGATCGAAATATGAAGAAAAATAACTCCGTTTAAATTCAAATAATTTTTACACCTATTAGAGAAGTTCATTAGCTTTCGGAAAATATATACTTCGCTAGGCGTAAAAATATTTTTCGTTGAGTTAGAGAGTGAAACAGGTCAAGCTGTAGAGTCCGGCGCGCGCTCGAGCCGCGATTCGATCGTCCAAGATCAGGCAAAAATTAAATATAAAAAGAACTACTCGCTTCAGAAGAGTCTCTTTTTCTGTGCTCTTAGCGCACACGTTTTTTTAGCGGCACACAAAATTAAGAATCTGCATCTGCGTTTATTATTACCTTTGTTAAACTTAAATCGACCATCCACCCAGAGCGCTCGAAAACTTGGTTTGCCTTCCAAGTAAGTGGTTAGATCGAAATATGAAGAAGAATAACTACGTTTAAATTCAAATAATTTTTACACCTATTAGAGAAGTTCATTAGCTTTCGGAAAATATATACTTCGCTATGCGTAAAAATATTTTTCGTTGCGTTAGAGAGTGAAACAGGTCAAGCTGTAGAGTCCGGCGCGCGCTCGAGCCGCGATTCGATCGTCCAAGATCAGGCAAAAATTAAATATAAAAAGAACTACTCGCTTCAGAAGAGTCTCTTTTTCTGTGCTCTTAGCGCACACGTTTTTTGAGCGGCACACAAAATTAAGAATCTGCATCTGCGTTTATTATTACCTTTGTTAAACTTAGATCGACCATTCACCCAGAGCGCCCGAAAACTTGTTTTGCCTTCCAAGTAAGTGGTCAGATCGAAATATGAAGAAGAATAACTCCGTTTAAATTCAAATAATTTTTACACCTATTAGAAAAGTTCATTAGCTTTCGGAAAATATATACTTCGCTATGCGTAAAAATATTTTTCGTTGCGTTAGAGAGTGAAACAGGTCAAGCTGTAGAGTCCGGCGCGCGCTCGAGCCGCGATTCGATCGTCCAAGATCAGGCAAAAATTAAATATAAAAAGAACTACTCGCTTCAGAAGAGTCTCTTTTTCTGTGCTCTTAGCGCACACGTTTTTTTAGCGGCACACAAAATTAAGAATCTGCATCTGCGTTTATTATTACCTTTGTTAAACTTAGATCGACCATTCACCCAGAGCGCCCGAAAACTTGTTTTGCCTTCCAAGTAAGTGGTCAGATCGAAATATGAAGAAGAATAACTCCGTTTAAATTCAAATAATTTTTACACCTATTAGAGAAGTTCATTAGCTTTCGGAAAATATATACTTCGCTATGCGTAAAAATATTTTTCGTTGCGTTAGAGAGTGAAACAGGTCAAGCTGTAGAGTCCGGCGCGCGCTCGAGCCGCGATTCGATCGTCCAAGATCAGGCAAAAATTAAATATAAAAAGAACTACTCGCTTCAGAAGAGTCTCTTTTTCTGTGCTCTTAGCGCACACGTTTTTTGAGCGGCACACAAAATTAAGAATCTGCATCTGCGTTTATTATTACCTTTGTTAAACTTAGATCGACCATCCACCCAGAGCGCCCGAAAACTTGTTTTGCCTTCCAAGTAAGTGGTCAGATCGAAATATGAAGAAGAATAACTACGTTTAAATTCAAATAATTTTTGCACCTATTAGAGAAGTTCATTAGCTTTCGGAAAATATATACTTCGCCATGCGTAAAAATATTTTTCGTTGCGTTAGAGAGTGAAACAGGTCAAGCTGTAGAGTCCGGCGCGCGCTCGAGCCGCGATTCGATCGTCCAAGATCAGGCAAAAATTAAATATAAAAAGAACTACTCGCTTCAGAAGAGTCTCTTTTTCTGTGCTCTTAGCGCACACGTTTTTTGAGCGGCACACAAAATTAAGAATCTGCATCTGCGTTTATTATTACCTTTGTTAAACTTAGATCGACCATCCACCCAGAGCGCCCGAAAACTTGTTTTGCCTTCCAAGTAAGTGGTCAGATCGAAATATGAAGAAGAATAACTCCGTTTAAATTCAAATAATTTTTACACCTATTAGAGAAGTTCATTAGCTTTCAGAAAATATAAGAACTGGTACAAAAGGACACAACCCTCCAAGAGTGCAGAAAAAAAAAAAAAAAAGAAAAATGCCATCAGCACTCCGTGTTCCCAGGTGGTCACCCTCCCAAGTACTGACGGAGCCCGATGCTGCTTAGCTTCGGTGATCGGACGAGAACCGGCGTATTCAGCATGGTATGGCCGATGGCAGGTACTAGGGCAACGAATGTTCGACTGCTGCCTGAGAAGATTGGTACACTCGGCTGTGGCGCACAAAATGGTAGAGACCCGCGGCAAAACAACACTCATGACAAAAGAGGAATCACTCACCCAAAGCAGTGCTTGTTTTCAGGATTACAGAGAGACACGGGAGGGAGGCGTTGGAATGAAAACCCGTTTCCAAGATAGATCGGTACTGGTTTGGCCCTGAAAAGGGCCGTTTTCGATGTGTGTCCGACGGCGAGACGGCTGTTAACCACCGAAACCATAGAGGGTACGGCCTTGCCTCTTGAGCGCGTACACCACATCCATGGCCGTCACGGTCTTCCTCTTGGCGTGCTCGGTGTAGGTGACGGCATCGCGAATGACGTTCTCCAGGAAGACCTTGAGGACGCCGCGGGTCTCTTCATAGATGAGGCCGGAAATGCGCTTGACACCACCGCGGCGGGCTAGGCGACGGATTGCAGGCTTGGTGATCCCCTGGATGTTATCGCGAAGAACCTTGCGATGGCGCTTGGCACCACCCTTGCCCAGGCCCTTGCCGCCCTTGCCTCTTCCAGACATGTTTGCTGCAAAAACAGGGACGGAAAACACGACCGCACCGTTCGCCTACTTCAACAAAGACTGGCGGCAATGCTCTACGGGTCCGACCAAGTGAACCCACGACGGCCTCCTCCTCTCCCGCCGACGAATGGGAGCAGTCCTGCAGCTTCGTATTGTGGCCGACAGGTGGCTGCGCACTGGAAGCAAGCGTGTGTTGATGAAATGCATGGCTTTAGCAGAGGCATTCATACACCTCGCCCATTTTGAGTCTTCATAGTTGTATGTGCAAAACATTGTTTTTTCTAGGTTCCAGGAGATATATATTTTAGCGGGATTAAGATTCGTTTTCGCTAAGTCAATGGGAGCAACATGTCAACTCAGGAGTGCCGAGCTTCGCACCGATGCAGCTAGTCAAGGGCCCGTTTTCACATGCGAATAAAAAAGAGTTTTATAAACGTTCGAGCAATCTATTCATCGGAACTTGTACAAGACACACTCTTCTCACGGCACACAAAAATTAAAGTTTCTTATCACTGGCGTTTTTAAGCGCGCAGTGCAATTCACCGCCATGGTGAGCCGGGTCGACAGCAAGTTGGGTCACCCAAGAACACAGTTTGATCAAAATATTGACTTATATAAAAGGGTCCGGTTTTAAGTGCTTATTACACGGGACGAAAAGTCTTTTTGGCTGGCAGAAAATTTGATACTGAAAAACTTTTTACCAAGCCTTCGGTCTGTTAAGAAGCAAAACCTGCCACCCGAAAGCGGCCAGTTCGTGCCGCTGCCGCGAATCGCGCAAATGAAGTAAACTAATAAAACAATTTCGTCTAAATTTAAATGCTTTTTATACCTACCGAAGAATTTCATTAGCTTTCAGAAAATATACACTTCGGTAAGCGTAAAGATATTTTTCGTTGCGTTAGAGAGCGAAACAGGCGAAGCCGTAGGGCCGGCTTCGCGCTCGGGCCGGAATTCGATCGTCCAAGATCAGGCAAAAATTAAAAATAAAAAAAAAACTACTCGCTTTAGAAGAGTCTCTTTTTCTGTGCTCTTAGCGCACACCTTTTTTTAGCGGCACACGAAATTAAGAATCTGTAGCTACGTTTTGTATTACCTTTTTTAAGCTTAAATCGACCAGCCGCCCTTAGCGCCCGAAAACTAGTTTCGGCTTCCAAGTAAGCGGTTAGATCGAAATATGAAGAAGAATAACTCCGTTTCAATTCAAATGCTTTTTACACCTATTGAAGAAGTTTATTAGCTTTCAAAAAATATATACTTCGATATGCGTAAAAATATTTTTCGTTGCGTTAGAGAGTGAAACAGGTGAAGCTGTAGAGTCCGGCGCGCGCTCGAGCCGCGATTCGATCGTCTTAAGATCAGGCAAAAATTAGAAATAAAAAGAACTACTCGCTTTAGAAAAGTCTCTTTTTCTGTGCTTTTAGCGCACACTTTTCTCTAGCGGCACACAAAATTAAGAGTCTTTATCTACCTTTTTTTAAACTTAAATCGACCAGCCACCCAGAGCGCCCGAAAACTAGATTTGGCTTCCAAGTAAGTGGTTAGATCAATATATGAACAAAAATAACTCTGTTTAAAATCAAACGCTTTCTACACCTATTGGAGAAGTTCATTAGCTTTCGGAAAATATATATTTCGATATGCGTAAAAATATTTTTCGTTGCGTTAGAGAGGGAAACATGTGAAGCTGTAGAGTCCGGCGCGCGCTCGTGCCGCGATTCGATCGTCTAAGATCAGGCAAAAATAAAAATAAAAGTACTCGCCTTGAAAGAGTTTCTCTTTTTTGTGCTGTTAGTACACACTTTTCTTTCGCGGCACACGAGATTAAAAGCCTGTATCTACGTTTATCATTGCATTTTTTAAACTTAAAATAAGAACACTCGAATTTAAAAGCAAGTTATTTGATACAACCGTGGCTCTAAAAAGAAAAACGCTGCAACTCGAAAACACAACACTTTGGAGTATGGGCTCCCAACGGCTAAAAACCACGCGAATATATCCTTTACATACGCGAGCGATGTGCAATATTTAGGAAGGTCACTCGTGCCCTCAAAAGCAATGAAATACAATGTTTTTTTTTCACCGAAACAAAATAAACGACATCCGACTGTGGCTACAAGAAGCCAAGTTCGACTGCACAACAAGAAAAAAGACATACTCTTTGCAAACATGCGCGATGCAGAAGCACTGGGTACTCACATATTTCTTGAAAAGAGAGACACGGGAGTTGGAAGTCATCGAGAGACGGCCGTTTTGCAGGGATGAGTATGGCCCTCAAAAGGGCCGTTTGTACATACAGCAGGGAGATAGCTCCTGGGTGTTACTTGGAACTGGTGTACTTGGTGACAGCCTTGGTGCCCTCGGACACCGCATGCTTTGCCAGTTCACCCGGCAGCAGGAGCCTCACAGCTGTCTGGATCTCCCGACTCGTGATGGTCGAGCGCTTGTTGTAGTGAGCCAGCCGAGACGACTCTGCTGCGATGCGCTCGAAGATGTCGTTCACGAAGCTGTTCATGATCGACATGGCCTTGCTGGACACTCCGGTGTCGGGATGGACCTGTTTGAGCACCTTGTAGATGTAGATGCTGAAGCTCTCCTTCCTCTTGCGCCTCTTCTTCTTCTTGTCGGTGGCACGCACATTTTTCTGTGCCTTGCCCGCCTTCTTCACTGCTTTTCCGCTCGGTTGGGGGGGCATCCTCGCGCGACTTGTCTTCGGGAGAAGATCGACGTTGTTACTCGCAAAAAGATGGCGAAACAACAACTGGGGCAACCTGAAATTTTCGTTTTCTTTGCTCTTTTTATAGGTTTTCACAGCATTCTGAAAAATGTGCTCCGATTGGCCAGCATTCTAGAGCGCGGGAAACAGTGCGCTGTGATTGGAGTACGCCCAAAATAACGCTTCGCGATTGGTTGCTGCGCGAACCAATGAGCAAGCAGTTTGAAACTACAATTTTTTGGGAGAGGGTTTTGGGAGAGGAGTGCTATGAAGCAGAGGCAGTGCAAGGCGAAAACGCGCTCTTGCAGCGCCCCCCAAGCGGAGAGGACTGGCACTTCCTTTGATTTTCTGCTTCTCGATGCGCTGACTCCCTCACTCACTCAGTGTTCGTTGGTTTGTTCGGTTGTCCACTTCTCACCTCCACCAAGATGTCTGGGCGCGGAAAAGGAGGCAAGGCAAAGGGCAAGAGCAAGACCCGTTCCAGCCGCGCGGGGCTCCAGTTTCCCGTGGGAAGGATCCACCGACTACTGCGAAAGGGCAACTACGCGGAGCGAGTAGGTGCCGGTGCCCCCGTCTACTTGGCGGCCGTACTCGAGTACCTGGCTGCCGAAGTGCTCGAGCTGGCAGGAAACGCGGCCAGGGACAACAAGAAAACTAGGATCATCCCTCGACACCTGCAGCTGGCCATTCGCAACGACGAAGAGCTCAACAAGCTGCTGTCCGGCGTTACCATCGCGCAAGGAGGTGTCCTGCCCAACATCCAGGCCGTCCTCCTTCCCAAGAAGACCGAGAAGAAGGCCTAAACCATCCCGCGGCATCCGCTACAGAAAAACGGTCCTTTTCAGGACCACTCATGACTTGAGTACAGGATACTCATTTCCGTGCGCTAGTCTTCCGTGTCTCTAAACACTCGGGTATGTGCATTTAAATTTCCTTTTTGTGCATTGCCGACAGTGTTTCTCTTTCATCACCTACAGGCCTTGAATGCCACTCTTAGGCATTCTCCCATGCATAATATTTACGCTGCGTTTAATGCCAAATTCTTTCACGTGTGCGAATTGCCCGAACAAGACTTGCTGTCGGGCGCAAAGGCCAGCATTGCTTGTTATTTGAACTCGTAAAACCACCGCTGCACTGCCTCGCTTTGAGAGGGTTTGAAGCTCTTTCTACGAGAGTCAACAATCGGAGCAGCATTTCCCCGAAACCGGCAGAGGGCAATAAATGTTGTGGACATCCCTCAAAAACAGATAATTACTCCACGGGTTTTTGTTGGTCGAATCTATAATCGTGATATTCGCTGATTGCTAGAAAATGAACCCTGTAATGTCTCGGGAAAGGTTTTTTTCTTCTTTATTTATTTCATTCAACAACACTTTAGAAAACAAGGAACACATGAAGGAATCGTTGGAAGCAACTGCGAACGGAGCACTTGGCACAATGCAAACTAGTTCAAAATGGGAGAATAAATAGAAAGTACTCACAGCTTTTGAACTCCTGCACTTGGAACAAGTCAGCATCGGAGATTGAGACACGGGAGGACGTCGCTTTACACATGTCCGAAAAGCATGTCTGATGTGGCCCTGAAGAGGGCCGTTTTTGTGGCGTTGCCTGCCGCTTCCAAAGAAGCGACATTAAGCGCGTTCACCGCGGATGCGACGAGCCAGCTGGATGTCCTTAGGCATGATGGTTACCCGCTTGGCGTGGATGGCACAGAGGTTGGTGTCTTCGAAGAGACCGACCAAGTAGGCCTCGCTGGCCTCCTGCAGGGCCATTACAGCCGAGCTCTGGAAGCGGAGGTCCGTCTTGAAATCTTGCGCGATCTCCCGCACTAGCCTCTGGAAGGGCAGCTTGCGGATGAGCAGCTCAGTCGACTTCTGGTAACGACGAATCTCACGCAGCGCGACCGTGCCCGGCCTGTAGCGATGCGGCTTCTTGACTCCACCGGTTGCAGGAGCACTCTTCCGGGCGGCCTTCGTAGCCAGCTGCTTGCGCGGTGCTTTTCCTCCCGTGCTCTTGCGGGCGGTCTGCTTCGTACGGGCCATTCCGAAACGTTGGGACAATAAAACGAGAGAGCTAGCAAACAGCAACACACCTCGACTCCTGACGACCAACTGCCTCAGCGCGAGTGGCGAAACTTCCTTCCCGACAAGGCCTCTCGGCCAATCAGAGAGCTTGTTCATTCTGGATGCTGTTTTGGGCAAGTTTCTTGCGAGGGACAGCGCACGTGGCTCGCTAGGACAATATTTCACGATTGAAGTGATCTAAACTTGTGGGGATAATGTGGAACCAACGTTAGAGCACAGAATCGAGCAAAAATTAGACTCCCAACCTTGTTATTTTAGAAACGGCACGGTTATAAACATTCGTTACCTTCTCCAGTGGGCCGCGCTCGCCTCTCGTCCAATCAGCGCGCTTGTTCATTCTTGGATGCTGTTTTGGGCGACTTTCTTGCGAGGGCCTATGCGCTTGGCTCCGTAAAATAATTTTTCTCGATCGAAGTAACTCAGACTTGTGAGGATAATGTGGAACCTATATTAGAGCACAGAATCGAGCAAAAATTAGACTCCAAACTTTGTTATTTTAGAAACGGCATGGTTACAAACATTCGTCACCTTCGAAGGGCTTCTCCCGGAGGTTCGCGCTCGCCTCTCTCGGCCAATGAGCGCTTGTTCTAGACGGTTTTTTTTCAGTCTCTCTCTGCTTACGATTAGAGTGGGTCATGTCCGAAGAAGTGTCCGCTCCTGCTGGGGTCGCGGCCCCCGCTGCCCTTAAGAGCCCCAAAAAGGCTTCCACGAAAGTGTCCAAGGGAAAGGCAAAGGCCGTGCCAACGCATCCCAAGGTGTCCGCAATGGTGACAGCATCCATCAGTGCGCTTAAGGAACGTGGTGGTTCATCTCTACAAGCCATCAAGAAATACATGTCTGCCAACTACAAGGTGGACGTCGAGAAGCTGTCTCCTTTCATCCGCAAGTATCTCAAGTCTGCCGTGGCTGCGGGAGCATTGGTGCAGACCAAGGGCAAGGGAGCTACCGGATCGTTCAAGCTGTCAGCCAAGTCCGACAAGCCCTCACCTGCTGCTAAAAAGCCCAAAAAGGAGGCTGGTGCTGCAAAGAAGCGCCCAGCCTCGGCAACTGCCGGTGCGGCCAGGAAGAAGAAGCCCGGGACTGCCAAGAAGTCGCCCGCAAAGAGGGCCAAGTCGGCCAAGCCCAAGTCGGCCAAGCCGAAAAAGCCAAAGGCAGAGAAGAAGGCTGCAGCACCCAAGAGCCCCAAGAAACCCAAGGCAGCAAAAAAGACCCCTGCCAAGAAGCCGGCTGCAAAGAAGGCTTCCTCCAAGAAATAGGTCTTCTCCTGGATATCCAGAGCGAAAAACAAAACGGCCCTCATCAGGGCCATAATTCGTTTGCATATCGGGGGATATGCACTTGCGTGGCATGCAGCTCCCGTGTCTCTCGCCACCTCTCTGTTCCAGCCTCGGTAAGCTGATTCCTGCTCTTTTTCAATGTGCACGAGGCATACTTGGTGTTATATTATTGTTTGTTCCCCTGTTAGCAGCATTTTATCTTTGTGTGTGGTACTCGTGAAGTCGTGGAGGCCCGCTTCACGCTCGAGCCGCGATTCGATCGCCTAAGATCAGGCGAAAATAAAAAAAAACTACTCGCTTTAGAACAGTCTTTTTTTCTGTCCCCTTAGCGCACACCTTTTTTTTGCGGCACACGAAATTAAGAATCTGTATCTACGTTTATTATTACCTCTTTTAAACTTAAATCGACCAGCCGCCCCGACCGCTTGAAAACTAGTTTTGGCTTCCAAGTAAGAGGTTAGATCGAAATATGAAGAAAAATAACTCCGTTTAAATTCAAATAATTTTTACACCTATTAGAGAAGTTCATTAGCTTTCGGAAAATATATACTTCGCTAGGCGTAAAAATATTTTTCGTTGCGTTAGAGAGTGAAACAGGTCAAGCTGTAGAGTCCGGCGCGCGCTCGAGCCGCGATTCGATCGTCCAAGATCAGGCAAAAATTAAATATAAAAAGAACTACTCGCTTCAGAAGAGTCTCTTTTTCTGTGCTCTTAGCGCACACGTTTTTTGAGCGGCACACAAAATTAAGAATCTGCATCTGCGTTTATTATTACCTTTGTTAAACTTAAATCGACCATCCACCCAGAGCGCTCGAAAACTTGTTTTGCCTTCCAAGTAAGTGGTTAGATCGAAATATGAAGAAGAATAACTACGTTTAAATTCAAATAATTTTTACACCTATTAGAGAAGTTCATTAGCTTTCGGAAAATATATACTTCGCTATGCGTAAAAATATTTTTCGTTGCGTTAGAGAGTGAAACAGGTCAAGCTGTAGAGTCCGGCGCGCGCTCGAGCCGCGATTCGATCGTCCAAGATCAGGCAAAAATTAAATATAAAAAGAACTACTCGCTTCAGAAGAGTCTCTTTTTCTGTGCTCTTAGCGCACACGTTTTTTGAGCGGCACACAAAATTAAGAATCTGCATCTGCGTTTATTATTACCTTTGTTAAACTTAGATCGACCATCCACCCAGAGCGCCCGAAAACTTGTTTTGCCTTCCAAGTAAGTGGTTAGATCAAAATATGAAGAAGAATAACTCCGTTTAAATTCAAATAATTTTTACACCTATTAGAGAAGTTCATTAGCTTTCAGAAAATATAAGAACTGGTACAAAAGGACACAACCCTCCAAGAGAGCAGAAAAAAAAAAGAAAAATGCCATCAGCACTCCGTGTTCCCAGGTGGTCACCCTCCCAAGTACTGACGGAGCCCGATGCTGCTTAGCTTCGGTGATCGGACGAGAACCGGCGTATTCAGCATGGTATGGCCGATGGCAGGTACTAGGGCAACGAATGTTCGACTGCTGCCTGAGAAGATTGGTACACTCGGCTGTGGCGCACAAAATGGTAGAGACCCGCGGCAAAACAACACTCATGACAAAAGAGGAATCACTCACCCAAAGCAGTGCTTGTTTTCAGGATTACAGAGAGACACGGGAGGGAGGCGTTGGAATGAAAACCCGTTTCCAAGATAGATCGGTACTGGTTTGGCCCTGAAAAGGGCCGTTTTCGATGTGTGTCCGACGGCGAGACGGCTGTTAACCACCGAAACCATAGAGGGTACGGCCTTGCCTCTTGAGCGCGTACACCACATCCATGGCCGTCACGGTCTTCCTCTTGGCGTGCTCGGTGTAGGTGACGGCATCGCGAATGACGTTCTCCAGGAAGACCTTGAGGACGCCGCGGGTCTCTTCATAGATGAGGCCGGAAATGCGCTTGACACCACCGCGGCGGGCTAGGCGACGGATTGCAGGCTTGGTGATCCCCTGGATGTTATCGCGAAGAACCTTGCGATGGCGCTTGGCACCACCCTTGCCCAGGCCCTTGCCTCTTCCAGACATGTTTGCTGCAAAAACAGGGACGGAAAACACGACCGCACCGTTCGCCTACTTCAACAAAGACTGGCGGCAATGCTCTACGGGTCCGACCAAGTGAACCCACGACGGCCTCCTCCTCTCCCGCCGACGAATGGGAGCAGTCCTGCAGCTTCGTATTGTGGCCGACAGGTGGCTGCGCACTGGAAGCAAGCGTGTGTTGATGAAATGCATGGCTTTAGCAAAGGCATTCATACACCTCGCCCATTTTGAGTCTTCATAGTTGTATGTGCAAAACATTGTTTTTTCTAGGTTCCAGGAGATATATATTTTAGCGGGATTAAGATTCGTTTTCGCTAAGTCAATGGGAGCAACATGTCAACTCAGGAGTGCCGAGCTTCGCACCGATGCAGCTAGTCAAGGGCCCGTTTTCACATGCGAATAAAAAAGAGTTTTATAAACGTTCGAGCAATCTATTCATCGGAACTTGTACAAGACACACTCTTCTCACGGCACACAAAAATTAAAGTTTCTTATCACTGGCGTTTTTAAGCGCGCAGTGCAATTCACCGCCATGGTGAGCCGGGTCGACAGCAAGTTGGGTCACCCAAGAACACAGTTTGATCAAAATATTGACTTATATAAAAGGGTCCGGTTTTAAGTGCTTATTACACGGGACGAAAAGTCTTTTTGGCTGGCAGAAAATTTGATACTGAAAAACTTTTTACCAAGCCTTCGGTCTGTTAAGAAGCAAAACCTGCCACCCGAAAGCGGCCAGTTCGTGCCGCTGCCGCGAATCGCGCAAATGAAGTAAACTAATAAAACAATTTCGTCTAAATTTAAATGCTTTTTATACCTACCGAAGAATTTCATTAGCTTTCAGAAAATATACACTTCGGTAAGCGTAAAGATATTTTTCGTTGCGTTAGAGAGCGAAACAGGCGAAGCCGTAGGGCCGGCTTCGCGCTCGGGCCGGAATTCGATCGTCCAAGATCAGGCAAAAATTAAAAATAAAAAAAAAACTACTCGCTTTAGAAGAGTCTCTTTTTCTGTGCTCTTAGCGCACACCTTTTTTTAGCGGCACACGAAATTAAGAATCTGTAGCTACGTTTTTTATTACCTTTTTTAAGCTTAAATCGACCAGCCGCCCTTAGCGCCCGAAAACTAGTTTCGGCTTCCAAGTAAGCGGTTAGATCGAAATATGAAGAAGAATAACTCCGTTTCAATTCAAATGCTTTTTACACCTATTGAAGAAGTTTATTAGCTTTCAAAAAATATATACTTCGATATGCGTAAAAATATTTTTCGTTGCGTTAGAGAGTGAAACAGGTGAAGCTGTAGAGTCCGGCGCGCGCTCGAGCCGCGATTCGATCGTCTTAAGATCAGGCAAAAATTAGAAATAAAAAGAACTACTCGCTTTAGAAAAGTCTCTTTTTCTGTGCTTTTAGCGCACACTTTTCTCTAGCGGCACACAAAATTAAGAGTCTTTATCTACCTTTTTTTAAACTTAAATCGACCAGCCACCCAGAGCGCCCGAAAACTAGAACTTGGCTTCCAAGTAAGTGGTTAGATCAATATATGAACAAAAATAACTCTGTTTAAAATCAAACGCTTTCTACACCTATTGGAGAAGTTCATTAGCTTTCGGAAAATATATATTTCGATATGCGTAAAAATATTTTTCGTTGCGTTAGAGAGGGAAACATGTGAAGCTGTAGAGTCCGGCGCGCGCTCGTGCCGCGATTCGATCGTCTAAGATCAGGCAAAAATAAAAATAAAAGTACTCGCCTTGAAAGAGTTTCTCTTTTTTGTGCTGTTAGTACACACTTTTCTTTCGCGGCACACGAGATTAAAAGCCTGTATCTACGTTTATCATTGCATTTTTTAAACTTAAAATAAGAACACTCGAATTTAAAAGCAAGTTATTTGATACAACCGTGGCTCTAAAAAGAAAAACGCTGCAACTCGAAAACACAACACTTTGGAGTATGGGCTCCCAACGGCTAAAAACCACGCGAATATATCCTTTACATACGCGAGCGATGTGCAATATTTAGGAAGGTCACTCGTGCCCTCAAAAGCAATGAAATAC